GTGAGTCTTGGCTCGAGGTCAAGAAACTGAATTTGTTTACTTATTAAAGATGGAGAGGCATTAGGCAGTAGCTGTGTACCCCTGTCTTTATCTCCTTTCAAACACACACATTCTTTTCCATTAATCTGATGACCTCTGAGTAACCTACATGTGCAGGTTTCAAAGCAGTCAAGCTAATATCAAAATATCTGCTCCAGAAATGAAGTTTTACTTTACAAACAAACTTCTGACGAGATCCAACTGAAGGAAAAAAAAAGTCAATTTAATTTTAAAAAGAAAATTATCTTATGAAACTTTTATTTTGTATCAGACAGCAGCAGGATGCATCCACAGGGGGACTGTTGCATGCTGCAGGGCTGAAAAGACTGATGAAGCCAGCAAGGTTATGCAACCCTGTGTCTGACGGAAGCATTGAAAACATTCAGGGTATTGCATGCATTTGTTGTGGAAGCCGTGCTGGAAAACGTGTTGGGGAACAAAGACAACAGGCGGTGACAGGATGTATTGTCACCTAGGTGACCAAACAGGATGTTTTTATATGTACTGTCACTCATTCAAAGTGCAGAGGAGCTGCATGTGAACAAAACTGAGGTGCTGGCTTTAGAAAAATTACAGAAATTACACTCCTAGGTCTGATATAAGAAAGACAAAGAGGAAGAAAGAAATGTGGGACTTTGTTTAAAAGCATTATGACTCTTCTGGTTTGCTGCCGGGGCCACCAGCCTCTCAGGAGGTCACGTTGGACCTGAAGCGTGCAAAGCATACCTATCATTAGCTCTGCTTTGTGCTGTGTCCCATTGTTACCTGACATTTTGGCAGCATAACAGTCTGAGACATCGCCAATGATCTCACAGCTTTTGTGTGTCGTCTTTTTGCTCATTTTGTGCAGCTCTCTTTGAACTTTTTTGGTCCTGGAGAATCGAGGAAATGGTCTGTGTGAAGGGTCCAGTAAAAAAAAAAAAAAAAAAAAACACGCAAGAAGAGTGGAGTTAAAGGGCAGTTAGCGAGAAGTGAGGCTGTTCAAATGGCATCTCGGGTTGATGGGCTGAAAGGAAAGTGCCATTAGTGTTGGGTTTCTGTGAAAGTCCACACAGTGGCTGCTTGAAGCACTCTTGATGAAGGATTTATTGCCCTTTGGTCTACAAAATGACACTCGATTGCACTGGAAGTACAGGTGATGACCACATTCAGACCTGTGCGTTAAACCAAAGGAGTTACTTTATACTTCTGAAACTGCTGCTTGTTCAAGGCCATGACTTTGTTTCAGGATGCAGCACTGAAACACTTGGCTGTGGTGATGTTTCACCCTCCAACACCCACCCCCACCCTCACAGCATCCTCCAAACTGGTGGGCTATTGTCTTCCTGTACAAGGCGGTTTGCTCACTAACACCCGTGAGTTGGAGAAGGGTGCAGTGGTAAATACGTGCAGTGGAAGGCTGGCACAGGCCACTTATCGCCCAGAGAGCTTTTTACAAAGCAGGGCCTCAATCCCACAATGCCATTCTCTGCCTGCGCCTGTAACAAAGAGCTCTCTGAAGCTCACATTGTACGCCCTCTTTCACCCTTTTGACCCTGATGCTCTTTCTCCGTTCTGGCTTTTTCTGTAGTTTAACTTTGGGTTACAAGTGCTTCAGTGATCTGCACGTGCCATGATTTGGTGAGCTGTAGTCAGAGTGCACGACAAAATGTAATATTTATTCATTTAATCCTTTTTAAATGTGCATACTGATTGTCTAGTGCATGGAGACTGCATTTCTGTGTGTAGCAGAGAGTACAGTTTCACACAACCAGATAAGAGAGAAGTGAGCAGCTGGGAGAGAAACAAGAAGCTTCTTGCTCAGAGCTGCTTGTGTACCTGCTCACCTACTACGAGTTCAAATGTAGAAGAGGCTTTCTTTGTTCCTGGCAGCTCGTTTCTCGTTTTGCCAAAGAAAATCTGAGCTATGTTTTGCAGGCGGACTTTGCCAGTAAGTTGATAAACGTATGCGTTTGAGTAAATGCTGTATTTCCCTATTTTTATTTTATTACGTGTGCTGGTAGGGTGAAGTCAGGACGGGGCTGTCGCAACAAAGTGGCACTTGTCTCTTAAGAGATCATCCAGAACATCACAGGAAGCTCTACTGCAAATCATAAACTATGGGAAGGATGGGGACTGTTACACATGAAAGCTGCACTCACTTTCTTTTAAAATAAACGTAGTTTTCAAAGAACAGTAGTATTTTAAGTATAAATATTGGAGATGCGCCGATATCTGCGATAACTGTTAACCAGGAAATACTTGCCTTCTTCTTCAGTAGATCATCTGCCTCCATCTCATCTTATCCCCAGTGTCCTCTCTGTGACACTCGCCCCCTGCATGTCATTTTTCACTACACCCATGAATCTTCTCTGTTGTCTTCCTCTTTTCCTCCTTCCTGGCAGTTCCACATTCAACATCCAATATGTCCACTCTTCTGGAGAATGAGGCGTTCCCAAGCTAGCAGTATTAATAATCTCTCCTGTATATCCTGGAACTTCCCCCAGGGTCCCTACATTCCTTAAAGCCCTCACCTAGGAGGTGTCCAATGAGGCATCCTAGTGAGATGCCCAGATTCCCACCTCAACTGGCTCCTTCTGATGTGGAGAAATGGCAGCTTTACTATCATTATATAGCTTGTTATATATTGTTTAAAGTTAGCAAGCAGTAACCTCATCAGTTTAGTTTTTCTGCACACTCTGTGTTAAATCAAGAATATCAGCTTACATACTGTTATGTTCGTCATGCTCTGCACCGTTTGTGGTCAGAGGATGGAGGAAATTGCTCACCCTTTTTCAGTTGCTGGGTTGCTAACGTGGTTTTAGCCTGAAGAAATGTTGCAAATCTCATTAAGCCACAGTTGCACTGTCAAATTTTGCGTGTGCTTGGGCGGCATTTGTGAAAACACTTGTTGGAGTTTGAACACTTCTTTCTTTAAGTGTCAGAGCTGTGACTACGTTGTCCTACCGCCGGAGCTCTTTTAGCTGATGACAGCTACCCTTGAGCCTCATCACATGCGAGTAGAGCAGAGCATAAGCACTTGGGGAAAGTTCAGTTTTTGTTATATTTGTGTTCAAGGTAAAACCAAAAAAGGCGGCTCCTTGAATCATGCAGCACAGAAAGGACAGTTTTTGCAGTGCTGATATTTTTTGGAGAAAGCTGCACACAGAATCTTTTCCTCTGCTCCTGCTCCCTGCAGACTCCGTTACTACCAGCTGTTGGCCTCGAGCAGAGGGAGATAACGCTGTTACTTTTCATTACATAATAATAACGGCTCTACATGAGCATGGAGAAAATCCCTTACACCCCCCCAACCCCACCCCTTTCTCTCAGATGTTATGACAGTGCATACTGTACATGCGGGCTCGTTCCTAATATGGGCAGTATGGTGTACAGTATTGGGAGCGAGTAGGGTGCCATTAAAAAGCAGGGGATTGATGAGGATACAGAGCATGACTGTAAAGAGCTGTTTAAGTCAACTTCTGTCCTCTAAGCGAGAGATCTCTGCTTTTAGGACAGCTGACACACACAGGGCGGCACTTTCATAACAGAGCGCACGCGTTTTGATGCCAATCCCTTCACTTCCCCTCTCACTCCCCTTCTTTTCTCCTTCTCATCCTTTAATATCTGTCTGTGAAAGGCCTTTTGAACACAGCTGCTCTGTGCAGCAAGGCAAAGCCAAATTTCCTGGTAGGAGCTGCACAGATAAATGCATGACATCTGACTCCGCCGCCTTTGGGAAGCATCTCCTGACTCAAACATTGGCTTGACATGCTCAGCTCTCTGCAGGGTGTCGGGCAGCGAACGGCGTGTGATACACGAGCCGGTAAATCTAGACGAGACTTCACATAATCCCCGCCTCCATGTTGGAATATTTTCTCCGGCACTAAGTCGGCGAACGGCAGCGTAAACAGGTGGAATAACACGAGTAGGGTTTGCGTTTCAGCATGAATGTACAGTAGAGCGCGGCGAACAGCGGCACAAATGGCCCTGTCAGATACAGGTCAGAGGTTTACAGCCCTGATAGTGTTTTTGTATAAAACGGGGAGTGAATTCCTTTCTTTAGAGAGGAGATTACTTTTGCAAGCTGACTCACTGACCCGTGTTTACTTTGAGACATTTATCAGGAAACACTCCACAGTGTGACTCATGGCACAGATGGATAAATCTCATTGGTCGATGGCAGGCACGCTACTTTTTTTTTCTTTTTTTTTTTGTCTGCTCTCACATCTGTAGCCTACCTGGCTTAACACCTAGTCCCATCTTCTTTTAGTTGAAGCCATTCATTAGTGAAAAAGGGCACCTTTAATTAAGACTTCATAGTCAATTCACAGAGCTCATTTATCGAGTAACTGTCATGATTATAATTGGAATTAATGCTGCTTTGAAACTCAATTGGACGCATCTTTCCTTTTGTTTTAGTAGCTTTCAATAAGGTAGAGCAGCAAAATGAGAGTTACCAGGTCCACCCTGTTAAAACAGATGCACTCTAATACAACATTACTACTCATGAGGTGAGTTTACTTTTCAGTCTGTTTGCTTTCCTTTCTATGTGCCGTTTCCACATTTTGAGTTAAGTTGCGATCCTAAACAGTCCAGTCTGACCGGTCTTATCTCGTCCACGTTGACTATCGCTGCTTTGGTGAAATGAAAATGTACAGGTCATTTGCATCAGAACAATCTCCTCACCTGAAGCGATTATGCAAAGTACATTTGCGTTCCTTGCCATGGTGTTTTAGTGTTTGAGTCGACTGTAATAGTTCTTCTCTCCCTGACAGCTATAAGCAAAGTTTATTTATACAGCTCACTTCGTACACAGCATCAATTCAATGCCAATGTCCACATCTTACGAGAAAGCACAGCCTTCTTCAAGTTTAAGAAAAATGTATATGGCATTTAAATGTTCGATTATTTGAACGCTGCTGATGAATTAGCTAAGACATAAAAGTCTTTCCTTTAGTGATTTCTGTTTTGTCTGGCAGCTTTTCGACCGTGTGAGGGAGGAAAACCCCGATTTCCACCAGAAGATCATCCCAATCAGCAGCGAGCTGACGCAGCCGGGCCTGGCCATCAGCCCAGAGGATGTGGAGAAGCTCACCACCTGCATCAACATCGTCTTCCACTGCGCCGCCACCATCCGCTTCGATGAGCCGCTCAAGTGAGGACCACCTGCATTTCATCCAATTTTTTTTTTTTTTTTTTTTTAATTTTCCAACACAATGAACACACAGACTCCTGCTGCTTTGTTTCATTATTACACCTCATTACAATCCGGTTCCACTTTATGCAAGGTGTCTTTATTGCTGAGTAAATGTTGCTTGTAGCAGGAACTTGCTGTTGTGAGGGTGCACTCCAGAGGATGTGCAATTCAATGAGCATGACGGTAATGTTTCATTGACGTGACGCAAAGAGGAAGTGGAGCAGGATGAGGGTGTGGAGAAATCAACAGTTTCTACGAGTTTGTAAAATCACCTATAAGAAAATAGATGGTTCCTATTTTACTCAGGGAGCCGTGGCATGTTCGGAGTGTTGGTCGGATGCGATTCAGTCAGTGTTGAGTCGGTATCAAGATGTCTTCAGAGGCTCCAACGTCCCAGTGAGGACGTCTCGCTCGTTACTGGTCTATGAGGAGCTTTGCTGAATGTAGAGTTGTTGAATTCTGATGTGAGCACTGTGATGACCGCGTTATGTTGTGCTCCTTTAGATAATGTGCTGATGTTCTCCTCCGACTAGTCATACCTGTAACTTCCTGACATAAGCAACAACGATCCGTCCTATAATGTTCGAATCCTGTTCACCAAAAGACCCGACAATAATACAGAGAAAACCCCAACAATGAGACGACCCAGTATGAGCAAGCACTTGGCAAAAGTTGGAAGGAAAAACTTTCTTTTAACAGGAAGAAACATCTGAAAGAATCAGGCTCAGGAAGGAGCGGCCATCTGTCGTGACTGGTTATAGGGTGATGGGAGGAAGACCGGACAAAAGACTCACTGTGTCTGAGAGCCAGAGATTAATAATATCTAATGATTAAATCCAGAGTCCTGTATAAACACAGAGGGAGTGAAGAAGAAACAGTCCATTATGGGAAGCCCCCGGCAGCCTAGGCCGGTGAGGTCTGGTCTGAGGTCAGTTGGTCATAGCTGGGAGGTGGCAGGGAAGCCTTTTGTATAGACTGTGCCTGAGCCTGCAAGCTTGTGTAAAAATATACAAACATGGTGTGCAGCTTTCTTTGTCTTGCTGTACAAATGCCCAGCCTGGACTGCACTGGATCCTTCATGTAAAAAATTATCTGCAGAGTGAAACGGATGAGCCGAGAAACCGAAAAGAGAAGAATGATTGGCATTCCTGCTTATAGCTTGTGTCTGGACACTTTCAGTTGCACTGCATTTTTGGGATTTTGTAAGTCTGATTACACACATGTTGACCCCACGTGATGATCCTGGTATTCATAGATTAGATCTTCAGTTTTAGCTTCTTTTAAGCAGGGAAATTCCTCCCAAGATAAGCGAGTGAGGCCGCCCCTTCAGTGTGTTTGCAGCCTCCGTGTGCATGGATGAGTGGAGGTAGATCATTTGTCTGACGTGGTGTAGTGCTGCTCTTTAAAAGCTCCCTGAAGATGGGTGTTCAGAGGCGGGCCAGTTTGAGTGACAGCTCAGTTAGGACTGCTGCACTGCACTGAGCTGCACACCGATTCATATCGATCTCTTAGTGCTTTAGTCTCTCTCTGTCTCTGTATCTTTCTCTCTCTCAGTGGCCTTTATCTTCTCTCTTCTTTTATTTCTTCATATGACTTCACTGGGTTTTTTACTCACGCCTCCCCTTTTTGTCATCTCAGAGTCATTACTCTTGTCTGGTGACCGGCAGCCTTGTAAGCAGTGCAGAGGCCATAAATCAGAAGAGTCTGCTTAAGGCTCGAGAGTCAGTCCAGGGCTTTTCAGCCCGACACCTCAGCTGGTCTTCATCCTGTGCAAGTCTTTATCCACACTTAAAGGATCATTGCTATTTATTGAAAGCTGGTTTTAACTTGAAACTTATTTCTATTTATCATAAGATTGATCTGTGAGTAAAGAGAGATTTTCACCCTATAATGTTCTGCGCAGTGGGTTAAAATTTCTAGAAATCATGACCTGGTTACCAGGAACTGCAGAAACAAGTGCCCCTCTACCCTTGGGTACAGGTTCTTCTTCGTAATGAGCTGTGACAGGATGTAAACATTCATGGTATCCTCCCCTCGGCTGAACTACAATGTCAGGTAGCTGCTAGCTTGCTTCCTGACATTGTAGTTTTAAATGAACTTGCAAGAAAGCTATAAGAGGAAAATATATGTTTGATTTTTGGGGTGAAGTGGCCTTTTTAAAGAAGAAAGCAGCACTGAGTGTTAATATTAGAGCTGCTAGTGATTTAATATTGATTCATCGATCTGTCACTTTATCAATACACAGTTCTGTGCTTCAGAGAAGTACTGATAAAATGTACAGTAGTAATGATAATACTTGGGGCAGTCTAAGCATTAAGCAGATATTAAACGACTCTTGAAATTTAGGAAAATTATCCGATAAACAAATTCTACAAAAACCCTTAAAGTGATTTTATTCTAAGATTATTACTTTGAAGTCTTATAACCTCGGTGGCTTCATATGAGTAAAAATCAGCAGCTGGGAGTTTCTTGTGTTTGCTAACTCGAGCTTTTCTCTAAAGGACCGTGACTGTTACAGACAACTGTCTGAAACAGATAACATCCAGTGAGCTTTGTGAAAGCTTTGTTGATGACAGAGGAGACTGGTCAGACGGCTTCAAGCGGATAGGAAGGAAATAGTAACTCGAATAACCACCAAATATGCAGAATAGCATCTCGGAACACAAAACGCATTGAACCCTGCTGCTACAGCAGCAGAAGGACCATACAGTGTGCCACTCCTGTCAGCTAAGGACAGGAAACTGGGTCTACAATTCACACTGGCCCACGAAAACTGGGACAATAGAAGAAGCGTCTGAGCAGCAACATTCAGGTGTTAGGATAAGAATTTGTTGTAAACAACATGAGAGCATGAATCATTCGGCACTTTGGACCCATAGCACCAGTTATTCACTCTTCAAACACCACAGCCTGCCTGAGTATTGTCGCTGACCATGTCCATCGCTTTATGACCACATTGGACCATCTTCAGTGTCTTGAACGCTGTACTCAAAGGGCCTCCACAGTCAGCAGATCTCAATAGCTGGTAGTTTCTGATGGGTGCCTATACTGGTCTGTAGTTGTTGCATCTGAGTCATAACTGCAAAGACAGATGGGTGATGAGTCAGGAGCAGGAAGGGGCGCAGTGGTGCCTCAATCTTCCCTCTGTAGTCCCGCTGGCGTGACGCCCTGCATATGGTCCCAGAAGGTGGAGGGGCGATGACACGCCCCCACAGCACTCAAAAGCTCACCGGGTGATCGCCACCGCAGTCTTCATCGTCCTGCCGCTGCTAACAGCCTGACCGCACCTGATTCGTGCCACTGGACCGTTCGCCCACAGCTTTCTGCCTCTCGGTTCTCCCGCGACCTCGTGATCGACACCCACGCTGAGCCGGAGAATCATGCAGTGTCTGTTGAAACTGACCACAGCGTTTCTCGTCTTTGCTCTAGGCAAAATGGACTCTGTATGTTGTTGTAGTTCTGCTGCAGAGCTGACGCACATCCGCAGCTGAGGGCTGAGGTTTATAAAGTGAAATGTGTTGTGTGGGTGGCCTACAGGAGGATTATCAATCACATGTGGGTTGAGTTGTTTTTGTTTCTTCTTCTTCTGGCAGTTAGGATTTTGTTGTAGTCATCTCTTTAAGAAAACATTTTTAAAACGATAAAGGCCAGCACCTTGATTATTCTTGCATAAGTTTGAGTCGGATACACGTGCTTCCTTTCACCAGAGATGGAGTCTTTTTATAGAGGTGACGCAAGACAGGTGAGGACGCCAATTATGGATTTCATTGGCAGAATGAAGATGATGGCAGCGATAAACATGAGGCGTGAGAAGTCAGGGTAAGAGTGGTGATGAATGAGATGTGCCATGGTGTTATGAGTGGCTGGCTGCTTATGTGGAGGCCTACACAGGTGAGCCAGTATTCTCCTAACAAGCCTCACTGCCTCCTGCAGGAGGGAACCCTGCAGGGAGAGCAGAAAGAGGAGGCTGTAACAGCTTTAGACAGTATAGAGTCAGAGGATTGCTAATTACAACACTTGTCTCATCATTATAAGACCAGTATCTATTAGACTTGTATAAATAAATGGCCAGCTAGGCCCTACTTATGTTTATTTTCTACTTTATCAATGGTTTAAATTGGGAGGGGGAATTTAATCTCTTAAACTATCATGTAATTAATAACTTCATTACTCTATCTGCATTTGTTCTCATTTTGTGGTCCTCGGGATTTTTCTGTCTTCAGAGAAACACTTTTTTTTAAAAATGTTTCTGCTTTTGGACTGTTGAGGTGAAATGCTGCTGCGTCATTTATAAGGTTATAGTCTCTGTGTTTAAGAAGAGAAAGTCAACAAAAGAAGGAGCAACGGGTTATCACTTTGCCAGATTTTGCAGGTGTAAAGCGGCGTGCATTAGGGCTGTGCGATATGACCAAAATGTCATATCCCGATATAAGAATTCTGTCGTCTGATAACGATATAAATCACAAAAATGTAACATTTTCTGTAAGTTCTGTGAATCTCGGGCAGCTCGTCTTGCGGGAAGCGTTTCCAGCTGCGAGTCATGTAGCTGGAGTCCAGTGTTTTAACAGGTGCATGAAACTATATTTTTAGACATAAGTTGTAACGGCCGCCGTTTTCTATTACACAGCGTGCTGCGAGGAAAAGCCTGTTCTAAAGTTTGAGTCTAAGGTTTATTTTTTAGCACCTGATGGCTCTTTTTTACTTCTCATCCTAATCTGCTCTTTCACGTAATTCAGTTTAGTTTGAAAAGTCTCAACAGGATCTTGAGCTTTATTGTGAAAGGTTTATGTGGAACATAAACAAGCGGACACGCGATGGTGTTACCGTCGTTGTTGCTAACAACAACATAAAAACAGGTGCTTGTCCATCGGTAGTGTGGTTATATTAAATATAAGAGAAAGAGAGAACTTTAAGAAAGTAATATAGCCACTACAGTGACCATCAAAACGATGAAAAATATATTGCCGTAAACAGTTTATTTTGCGACACCACGAAACAAACGATAGCATAAAATGAAACGATAGAAGTTTTTATATTGTCATCCGATATATATCGTTATATCGAACAGCCCTAGCGTGCATTGTTCAGGACCGTTCTCTGCATCGATTCAGAGCCGCAGTAGATGCTGTAATGCTCAGTCTTGGCTTTATGACTGGTACTACAAGATGAAAAGAGCGAAAATGATGAGGCTAATACTTTTTTTTTCCCCCTCCTCATTTAGTCTTGTTCTCTCTCCCTCTCCTCTGTTTGATTTCATGCCTCTCTATCCCGCCGTGTCACTCTGCTCCGGCTTGAATTTTTTTGCAAATTCCTGCTCCTTTGCAAATTCATATTTGAATGGTACACTCAGTCGTCAGCAAACAAACGCTTATACATGCAAATACAGAGATAGTAGTAGTCTAGCAAACACGAACACACACACACACAACGACTTTCCCTGCACACACTGAACCTGAGCACGCACACACAAACTTTTCCCTCCCACACAGACTCATTTGCACGACCTTTCCTCCCACATCTACATACACACACTCCCAGAGACGTGCAGTCTTTTTAACACCGTATGAATCTCTCTCTCCTCTCCTGCAGACACGCCCTGCAGCTCAACGTGATCGCCACACAGCAGCTCCTCAGCCTGGCCCAGCAGATGCATCACCTCGAGGCCTTCATTCACATCTCCACCGCCTATGCAAACTGCAATCGCAAGCACATTGATGAGGTCATCTACCCGCCGCCCGTCGAGCCCAAGAAACTTATAGACTCCCTTGAGTGAGTGGATGATGTTTTTGTTCACCAGTGTCACAGAAATACTTCCACTTGGGGTTAATTCATGTGATGTGGATATTAATCCCAAAGAAAAAGAGAAGTTGCATATTTGTGCTACAGCTGCAACCAAGGGAGAGACCGCGACAGGGCCTCCCAAACAAGGGATTGTAACAAGGTTCGCTCAAAAGATCAATAAATAGTGAGTGGATAAACTATTGCATCACTTGGCGAGTGTGTCAGAATCAAGCCCAGTAATTACGAGGAACGAACAAACAATGCAGTCATTCACAACACATCCAGCTGGGCCTAAACCACCCTGGGCACGATACCAACACAGATCTCATCCATTCACTTACATTCAGCAGTGAACCTGGACTGGGATAAAAGCAGGAATGTGGAGACACGAATTTCATGATTATCTGCCTGTTTTCACACCTGTGCACACATTTGGCCAACTGGCTGTCAAAAAAAGCGCTTTATTGTCAGATTGCGCCATGGAAGTTATTGCAAAAGTTGGGCAACATGCACACCTTTCCGTGTGAAAGGAGGTTTTCTTTGCTTTTAAACTGTTCATATTCATAATGTAGTCCAGGACTAACACCTCCACGTGCATTTGGAGAGCAGTAACAAAGACTCTCCCTACATATCAAAGGTCACAGTAATTTCAATTTGATTCATATAGCAACAAAGGACAACTACAGTTACCTCAAGGTGTTTTATTTGATACAGAGAAAACCCCAACAATCAGGTGACCCCTTATGAGCAAGCATGTGGCAAAAGTGGGAATAAAAAACTCCCCTTTAACAGGAAGAAACTTCCAGCAGAACCAGGCTCACGGAGGGGTGGCCATCTGCCGTGACTGGTTGGGCATGAGGGGAGGAAGACGGGACAAAAGAGACACTGTGGGGGAGGGGGGGAGGCAGAGATGCATAACTAATGATAAAAGACAGCAGATATTACACTAATGTCTGAAACGGCATGAAAAGGAAGTGCTAGGGTTGAGATGGGTTGATAGCGGCTTGCAGGGTGACTAAAGCAGCTTAAATGCCACGTCCTACATAGATTTGTCATCAGCTCAAGTGTAAGGACCAGAGGTTTGGTTTAACTTTGAGAACATTGCCTAATGGAGTGTTTCCGTTTCATTTTATTTCATGCATTTATTTGGCAGTGCTTATAGGTGAAGTCTCTTTAACTCCTTTTCCCATAAAGACAACATGACGACCTTTACAGCATTCACAGGGTAAAGAGTTAAAATGCTGGTCTAAATGTAGTAAGCGTACATGACCTGGGGACTGTAAATTGCTTTTTCATAAACCTGTACCTTCTAATGTTCTTCTGCAAAACAAACCTGCTACCTATGTTTTTAAAAATAGTTTTTATCATAATAAATCTCAGACTGCACCAAAATAAGTGCTCAATTATGTTGTAAATGGGTGCTTAGTGCTGAAGCTTTATGTCTCTGGCTTCAGGTGGATGGACGATGGCATCGTGCGGGACATAACGCCACGGCTCATCGGTGACAGGCCCAACACGTACACCTACACCAAAGCCCTGGCTGAGTACGTGGTGCAGCAGGAGCAAGACAAGCTCAACATTGGCATCATCAGACCCTCCATAGTGGGAGCCAGTTGGCAAGAGCCCTTTCCTGTGAGTTCACTGAATACTTTGCTCTCTTTAGAAATAAGCTACTTTTGCATAATTACACTTATATATGTTCTTTTTTTAAGTATTGACAAAGTTCCATGACCTTTTCTAGTTTTAATCTTGCTGAGAGAGAACTGACACGCCCACTATGGCTCACGTCTTTGTGAAAGAATTTCACGAGCCTATATGTCAAAGACATATAGGACATAGTTTTTGTAAAGACGTGTACAATAACGATGGATGCAGCGACTGATGTCAGTCATTGGGTTGTGAACACCTACATTTTAATCACATAAAAAAAAAAATTGAAATAAAACAAAGCAACAAATTAATTGTCTGATAGCTTAATCTCTACAGTTTGCTCTTGTGACATCAACATTTCAGATCTCACCCAATCATTGACACCTACACATGGTCCTTTTCTCTCGACACTGTTCCTCAAAGTCTTATGAGTTAATTGCTCCGTAACATATATTCCACTCTTTATTTTCAGCCATTTCTCTTGCGATGGTTGTACGATCCTTATTTGACGTGATTTGCCGAGTTAGTAGGGCCACCTTCATGCTTATGCTTACTTTGCTTAATAAAAACAGGCTTAAAGGATTGTGTACCAGATGTCGTCATTGGTCATTTTTCATAAAGGAACCATAGTGTTTGAAAATGAACACAAACAAGAGTCAAAACTAGAAATTCAGACCATTTTTTTTTCTGCTTGCATCTTTTCTATACAGTCTGTGATGCATGTCGTGATTAAGAGCTGTGGTGCTTGGATCCTCGCAGAGTGCAAGTCGTTTGCTTTCCTATTTCATCGCTGGCTCATTTTCTGCTCAGAACGTGCCCCCTTTTTTGACTTGGTTGTTTCTTTGTAGGTGCATGTTGGACACCCATGAATGACGCGGACTAGTTTTTCTAGAATCCCTCCCCTCATTATGTGTCCTCCTGACACAAATTGAAATAAGATATTGATCAACCTAATCCTGCCCGGGTCAGTGCTGCTCTCCTGTGGCTTTTATCTTAAGTGGCCCTGGATTAAAGCAAATTGGCTAATGTCGGTGCTAAAGACCGGCGTTTTCCACCCGAGTCACCTTTCATCAAGCCAAACAGCTGCTGGGATGGGAGAGTTTGGGCAGACGTCAAGGACAGAAGGGTAAATCGGAGGCTGTGGACTGAAGGCTGCTTCGCTAAGGACCCAAACATGAAAGCTGAAGAGTGCATTATTGCTGTCAGTCTCTGGTGGATTTCTTTATATGAAAACTTGCACCAGACTAATCAGCGTGAGCGAGATTGCTTCTCAGTAAATATTTAATTGAAATTATGTGATTTTGCATGGAAAGAGTTAAACTTTAAACTTGCCAATAATTATTAATTTTTTATAAGATATTTACTTATTCTTTCATTTCATTTTATTTTTTATATATATATTTTTTGCTGAGTGACTCCTCGTTAAAGCTATAAATATATCACTCAAGGCTGATGACTGCAGAAAAAGCCTTAGACTCGTGATGACAT